GTGTGCCAATTTGTTGTTTCCATATCCATAGTTACTGATTAGTTTCACCTGCATTTCAGTTAGCTTCCTATACGCCGTTTATTTAAGCCTTTAGTTCTCTTGGTTCTTTGTTATCCAGCAGCTGTAATATATAGGCATATACACTATAGTTGCTTTAGTTGCATTGTGTTTTGGTTCTGTTCTGTTCTGTTCCGTGCCTCTTCCCTTGTTTGTCCTGAGCAGATAAACTGCCCAATGTTCTTCAGAAAAATCCTTCAGGTCCTGCAAAATCTTCAGTTTTCCAGCATCTTTTGCATTTTTGAACCCTTTCAAGCAGTGACTGTTTGATTTTGTGATCCATATCTGTTCACACTGAGAACAAATGAAGGACTCAAACACAACTTTTTTTGTTTCTTTTTTTTTTTTTTTATTAAACATTCACACTGGTGCTCCAGAAGGAAACACGATGCATTAAGAGCCAGGGGGTGAAAACTTTTGTACCGGATGAAGATGTCCACATTTTTCTTATTTTGCTTAGATGTCCATTTAGTACTGCCCTTCGGAAGCAACAGAAGGTACTTGCATGTTTCCCAGAAGACAAATCATGTCAAATTTTTGATCTTCAAATCCAAAAAGATTTCACTGCACCTGCTCTAAATGCATCGTGTTTCCTTCCATGCTTTCCTTCCCTCCTTTAAAACTATATAAAATATTTTCCTCATTTTGATGGTTTAATCAAACTAGTAGGATCATTAAAAACAAATATCCCCTCCGGACATCACTTTCTCTCTACAACTTGCCTTCAGTGGAATACTTTACACTGGGTCAATTAAAAACTTTTAAGTCTTCCTTTTTTTGTGACAAAAAAGAAAACATTGAAACCTATTACTTTTAACCCCTGGGACAAAAAAAAAAGTGGCCATAGCTGAAGAAACGCCCCCATATATGAGAGTGTTCAGTGCTAGAGGAGGCAGGCAATGAGCTTGTTACTCTGAAGGTGGTCCACCACTTTACTGAGCTGCTGGATAAGTACTTATAGAGGGTGAGTCACTCAGACCTTCACCTTTATTCTCTCGGTTTCACTCGCTCCCTCCATTCTCTCTGACTCTATCAGCTCCTCAACCCTCTTCACCTCCCCCATTTCTTTTTTAAATGCGGCAGGCACCAACCCAACCGGCAGATGAATGAAATGTTGTTGTTTTTCCACTCACAGTTAACCTTCTGCAGGTGTTTCTGCAGAGCCGTTTGTTCGTGATCAACACTTTTCAGTAGAATCAGGGTACTATTAGCTTGCGTGGAGCAGACATAGTCATAATACACAGTTTCTATACTTCTATTTACATCAATACACTTCGGAAAAGATAACCAGCCACATTAATCAGACGTCACTTGATAGTTATGGCATTCCTCTTGTTTTACTGTCGGAGAATTCAAAGCTCTTTAATGGAAACATGAGTGCTGGTGCATGCTGGGAGCCGAGAGCTCGACGCCTGTGCGCCCCTGCCAGTGCTGTCAAAGAGCATTCTCCCCCCGGCGGGTGAAATGGAACATTTTTGAATTGATTCCGAAAGAAAATCATTTCACACGGTCTTTAATATGAAACCTCTAGTACGTGACATATTAAAGCTGTATGCCCACATATCCACCGCCATACATTACAACATGACAGAACAAGCTACATTTGAAATCGACGAATGCTGTTTGATGCCAGAAACTGCAGGCGTAAATGCAAAAACATCCCGTGAGACACAACGGCAGACACTGGCAATCAGCTCTTAACGGACACACTGACAGCTCTTACGGCGAGAGCAGAGGGTATAATTGAATGGTAATTACATGGTAATTATCATCATGCATAAAGGTTTGGCATACAGAAAAGGATTGGGGGGAAGAGGAATTTTTTATTTTATCCTTTTTTTTTTAACAACCTCTCCGAGATTTTAAATGATTCTGTTCAATTATGGCTAATCACTGAAATCCAGGAAGGGCATAAATGGGGGTTGTCTATCTACAAAGGCAGCAGAGAGCTTCAAGACACTTTGAAGCACCTTAAAGCGCGTGTGTCACGGAGAAAGTTTCATCCGAGAGTGTTTTTGCCGTGTTGTTCGGTTTGGCTTGGCAGAATGCATCATTAGAGCTGCTGTCTGAGTCACAGTCATTATCAGGCACTTTTTTACCTCTGAAGTACTGGCGCCACTGTCATCAGGCTGTGTTTATGCCTGATTTTTGCATGCGTGCGATCAGGAGCATGAGCAACAGATGGAGAACATGGGGCCGCAGTGTACATTAATGACTCGGAACGTTTCGTGTGTAAAGGTTTTGAACAGTCAGGCTTCCATTTATAGTAATTACCGGCGTATTTTAACAGACTCTTTGCATATTTCAATGAAACTGTTTCAAAATGGAGGTTGAGGCAGAATGTAAGTGGCCATGACTCACCAGCCCCCGACAGCAGCGCCGTGAGACTTCTCCACACTTATGCTGCTCATTCACGGCCCTCTGCGTTTTCTCCGACACAAAAGCTGAAAGAAAGAGAGGAGAGAAACACATCAGAGGCTCATAAACGACTGTCCCCCATAGCCACTGCACTCTGGTCACTAATGGAAAATTTTCAAGCGGTCGTCTGCCATCGCAATGGTTAATTTGCAGTGGGATTGACCACTAAAGGCAGCTGGAGCGAAAGCCACAGACGTTTAGAGTGCATCAGTACGATAATGAACGTCTGTGTGGGGTTAAATCCCACTATTATTGCCCGGCGTAAGGTCTTAATTGCGTTTTAACCAAATGCAAGTGTAGTTTGAATTAGAGAGCAAGGTGTGTTTGCAGGTTGCCTAATGCAGGTGTTTTTTGAGCATAATTGAGTTCTGCATTGTGTCCAAAGTCAGGGTGTGGGGGGAGTGGGCTGGTGTCTGTGCCTGTGTGTGTGTGTGTGTGTAAGAGAGGGAGAGGGTATAAGTGCTCGAGGTTCTGCAGTGGTGCATGGCAGTAGATGACTCACCCGTCAATCATGTGACTCATTAATCACTGCAGCTTTCTCTCTCCCCACCCCTCTCTTTCATTTGGTCTCAGTGTGTCTCCATGTCTATTCCCTTCACATTACTCTTCTTTTATTATTCGAAGTTCTTTTTATTAGCGAATGACTTTCATCTAGCAGCGTCTCATTGAACAGCATCATTCTCAGGAGGTTGAAAAGACGGATTTGCTTTTTGCTAGTTAAAGACGCATGCATTCAGATCTTCTTTCACATAATTCTGTACATGTTTTGGTCTTATGTTTGGTAAATACGTTCTATATATTTTCTCTTAATAATCAGAACTTGTTCAAATGAACATGTTTGTTGCGGAACATGAGTAATGCAGTCGTGACTTGTAAGGGTTTTTAAGAATCATAGAGCAGCATATCTATCTTTTTCATTAGAGATCTTCTCAGGCACATATAGGTATGCGAGTAATTGGAGAATAAAATGTGTCTCTATAGTCAATCGGTTTGTGTTTTCAGTGTTCTGTTATAATACAGTATGAGAAAATGCTTGTGGAAAATACAGATAAAATTCAAAGTGGTACTGGGCATGCTGGTTCAAACTCTCTGTGACGTCAAATGCAATTTCTGCTACAGGTGAGATAAGAAACGGCATATGTTGTCCTAGCGAGAACCCTCTGTGGTACAGAAATGTATTAATTTCTGCTCAGGATCTGATCAAAGACGTTCCAATAAGACATTTGTTAAAAAAACTGACTTTAATAAAATAATTGCTTTTATTTTCGTTATATAGCAAAACTAGTAATCAACATGCTGTTATTTACACATTGCACACACATTTGTTTATTTGACACTGTACAACTTACAATCTGAAAGTTGACAACAACAAATTCCTTTCACAAGACAGTTCACTGATGAAAACACTTGCTATAGTAATTAGAGTTGTCTTTCTTTGTTTTCTTTTTTTTTTTTTATTAATTTTTAAAATAATCACAGTTTGATCAAGGAAATTTTCCCCAAATTTGGCAGATTTTTTTTTTTTTTTTTTTTAAAGATGCAAATACAGATAGACGTGCAAACTGTTCACCCTCAGAGTATTCCTCACAAACTTCAGACAGTTTAAAACTCATTTTTAGGAACAAACGTTATACTATACAGCGTTCTGTTGGCTCCCAAGACAAAGATTCTGTACTCAGTGGTTGAACATTGGAGGTAACCCACAGTAACAGGGGCTTTTTTAAAATGTCTTCCAAATTTTGGCAAGATGTGACGTTGACATTAAATCACATGTGTACAGGTATTCCACCAAGTAGATTGACAGGGCACTGACCTAGCAAAGATATTCACCATTTTGCATTTCTGTGAATAAAATGGAAGATTTCCTTTCAAGCATTGTTTACAGCCTGCATGACAGAATTCTTTTTTTTTTTAGTGGTGCAAGACCTGCATGCACATGGATGAGCTAAAACAGTGATCAGTATTAAGGCAATAGGAACATTGATCAAAACAATCCAACAGACCTTCAGGAAAAGCCTGTAATAATTGGACAGTTACTTGTTTGTGTAATTAGTGCCATAGCAATTATTACTGTGCCCTGCAGTGTCAAGATCTCAACCACAAGCTTTGCTTTTCAATTAATCAAGTGTTTCCTAAAGAAAATAAATCTTTGTATAAACATGGGTCTCTTGCATTTGGCACCGAAAATGTTTTCATTTGACCATTTTGTCTGCTTGTTTTTGTTTTCTTTTTGTTTTCTCTTTTGTGTGTTTTTTTGTTTGTCCTTTTTTACATGCAAGAGAATCAAAAACATACCTGAATGAAACCTTACAAATTCACCTGTGTATTCTCTCACCAAATTAAAATGTAAACTGCGAGAGAAACCAAATGAGTGCACGCAGAGAGGTTCTGATGTAGCAGCACCGTCTCTTCCGTTCCTGATTTGGAATGTATCAAAACACAAGAGTGGAGAAGAAACACCTAACTGTCTTTTCACAGCCCTGTCACTCAAATTCCCTGTCAGCTTTTTCTCCTCACTCTTTCATCGCTTCAGAATATCCTGAACTCGCAACTGACTAAAATAACCTACGGTTGTAATAAATCTTCTCAATGAAGTTCTCCAGCTCTTCATCGCTTTCCTGCGGAGACTCCGGCTCATCGTACACATAGTCTGGTGGGTAGATGTAAGAAGGTGCTCTCCCACTTGGAGGAGAACGTGGTTTGGGCATGGGGAGAGCCTGGTAAGTTCGGGGATGGGGTAGAATGTAATTAGATATGACAGTGCCCGGTTGTGGGTATTGGCTCTGCGAGCGTTGAGGGGCTTGCGCCCATTTCCAGTCCCTCGCTTTTGGCCTGTCTCTATACCTACGGTTTGGAGGCTTCAGACCGTATCCCATAGAGCCCCCAAAGTTGTAGTCAAATGACAGAGCAGGATTTGTATAGAACCGCGGCTTTGGGGGTGGGAAGAAGACCGGGTAATAGGCTCGATATGGCTTCTGATAATAGGGGAACGAGGGATAGGCCAGAAACTGCTTCTGCGGCTTAAACCAGTAGTCCTGCTTGCTGAGCTTGCCTTTGTTTTTCTCCTTGTACCATTTCTTATATGGATCAACTTTATAAGAGGATTTCTTATGTGACTTGGGATATTGATTCGCCTGAGGCCTTGGCTTGGCTTTGAGAGGAACTAGAGGGCGGAAACGAGGGGTGTTACTCGGGGGTAAATCCTTCCTCTTTTTCTTCTTCTCCTGAACATCACTGATTATTTCAACCACATCGTCAGCAGGCAAGTGCAGCTTGCTGGAGATCTCGATCAGCTTGTCGATGGTCTGGGGATCCATTTCATCGTCATCGTCGCTGTCCTCCACCTCGTTCGAGCGCTTGTCCTCGGCTACATTGTTTAGAAGAGCCGCAGCCTTCATGTCTCTCATGTAGGACGACGCTTTCTGCTTCCTGCCCATGTACTCCAGCAGCATATCAGAGGCAATGTCCGCCAATCTCTGCTCTTCCTCACGTGCCTCCTGCGCCTCCGCCTCCTGCCGACTCACCTCCTCCTGCTCTGCTCGAGCCTGTGCCTCCTCTTCCTTGCGGGTCAGAATCTCCTCCTCCTCTTCTTCCACAAAATCGAAACCATCCATGAAGTTTCTGTCGAGCTGGGATGGGTTTCTCGTTTGCTCCTCCTGCCACTTAAGCTTTTTGGTTGCCTGGGCCAACTGCTGGTTATAGGCTTTGTAGCCTTTTAGAGGTGGGAGGATCTCATTGTCTTGCAACCCGAGGTCAATGTTTTGGAAATAGCCCCTGGCTTTGCGCTGGAGTGTGGCCACATTAGACTGACTCTGCAGTTGCCAGTCTTTAGCCGCATTCACCTCGTCCTCCTCCTCAATCTCACTTTCATCCTTTGGCTTTTCTTGCCTCCCGTTTTCCTCACCTGGCTGTACTGCCTCTAATGATTTCTCTGTGTCCTGCTCAAGGTCTCCCTGATTCCTTGTTGCCTCCATTGTGAGTCCTTCTTCAGAATCCCCCTGGGTCATCTTCTCTCTAACTGGGTGATCGAGAGCCTCAAGCAGAACTGAAGCTAGAGCACTGGCAGAGTCCATATTTGAGATATGTTCCTGACCCAAGGGTTTCTGGAGCAGGCTGTCCACTTTCCTATGTGTCCAAGCAGCTCCTTCTGCTGCCCCCGGGTCCTCTTTTGCCAAGTGGAGTGCCTCATCGATGCTGCTGCTGACTGAAGATCTCTGCGGAAGTGCAGGGGCAGCCAGGGCCAGCAGGGGGGTGAGGCTGAGGAGGACTAACAGGAGAGCTGAGGTGCTGGAGGGGTAGCAACAGCAGAACATGACCATGCAGAAAGGACAGGATGGGGGAGAGGGGAGCACCTTACAAAGATAAAAAGAAAAAAACATGATTAATCTCTGTGGTTTTTCTTTTTCTGAGCATTAACAAGACTACCGTTCATGGCGCTTATATTTTAACATTTAGTTGCTAGAGCAGCACAACGTGCGTGCGCGGAAATCTGCTTAACTTAATTAGTACGATCAGATATTAAATCGTGCAGTTGTTTTACAGCAGTACGTGGCCAGCAAAAAACACTATCACTTTTTAAATCAAATTAATTTCGACGCTTTAATTAAACTGAGCCCACACAGAAACCACGTAAAAGGAAAGATCGAGACGATTCCCTGGATGCCTCTTCACCGATCACTTTTTGAGTCGGATTAGCGAAGCACCACAACAAGCCTGAATTTGGTAAAGAATATAAAACTACACTGTCAGTGGAAATTGTCTTTCTTGAAAAAAAATCTAGAGACTCGAACGTATGTATGAATGAAACATTATAAATTCACCTGTGCTCTCACTAATTCAAAATGTAAGAAGCAAGAGAAAAATCTATGTCAGTCAATCCAAGCAATAATTATTTTCTTTTTATGTATTCATATAAACACAGTATGATTTGGATAAAATGAATACTACCGTTTTCTTCTCTCGATTTTCAAAGAATTCTAACTCTGAGCGATCTAGCCTTAAGATTTATTTTAAATCTACGCACACAATAACAGAGTATTTTGTATTATTTAACAAAGAAAATCATAGACATCACATCTCAAGTTCAGATTGTCAGAAAGATAGAGACACGGATCTTGAATTCTTGCAACAAAAAAAGGCGTTTAGAAATTTATGAATGAAACGCTTGTTGATCGGTCGAGCTGTATATCTTTGAATGACTGAGATTCAACAGCATGCAATCTCAAAGTAGATATCAGCGGAAAACTTATTTCTAGCCCTTTATAGCCTCTCTTTTTTTACAGGGAACTATCAACAATTTACCGGGTGAATGTAAGAAAGTCAGTGCACTTACTCACCTGATTTCACGAACAAAATAGCTGGAAGTCAAAACCTTCTGCTTCTTGGATGAGGCTTGGAAACAACCGCAATCCTTAAATTCATTTATAACTTAAGTTAAAGTAAGTTATCTTCCCAAAACAATTATTCGAAACACACTTCGGTCTGTCTTGCACTGTTGAGAGATGAATGCGAAGCGTGTATTTTTTTCAGGACCACGGACAGCGCAACTCCCATTTGTATAGACGCGTCTGGACACGTGATCGACGAGTCATAACTCCGCTGTTGACGTCAGACTCTCCATTGATAAGAATTTCGTGTCTCGTTTGAACTCGGAGGGTACGCTACGGTGCTCTGATGAATGAACAGAGATTGCATGAATGAAACAGTCTCTCCATTAAAAACAGAGCCCTGTGGACCACAGTGAAAACACTGCTAAATTTACTCATACATAAGCTAAATCTGAGTTGATTGAACACCGACGATTTGCTCTTTTATACATTATGGATCTAAGTTTTAAAATCAGTTTATTTGCAATACATAGGACGTATTTATAGGGCATACTATGTATCCAGTAGCCTATAAATTGACACTGTCAGTTACATAGCAGACCATTTTGGCCTGTTGATTGTTTGTGAGGTGTCCTTAATCAGAACTGGAGAGACACCGAACGGTTGCACCCACCGTGACGCAGGCGGTTCAGCTTCACTGCTCTACTTCCGCTCAATTTCCCGAGCTCGTTCAATTTTCCGCTCTTTGTCTCCTGCCGCCCCTGACTTTCATCCATCTGTCTCTTACGTCATTCTCATGCTTTTTTTAATTATATGAATGTACAGGTAAGCCTCAGTTACTCCCTTGACCAACCAACAATCCAGAAACAGTCAAGACGTTTCATGAAGAGAGCAACCTATACTTTGGCGTTCTCTCTTCTCTTGCAATTATGCGAGATAATAATTCCGTATGGCGTGGTTTAGAACCTTTACATGAATACTGTAGGTTTTAGGAATAGGCCTAATTGGAAAACGCTCGCGTGGCATTGGAGCCAACAGCAATCCCGCCAATCACAGTTTATGATTCGTGTAATTGGATTAGTTGCAGTGCGGATATTGAAGTCCCACGAGCCACACTCGAAATGACAGCATCAAAGCTGTCTCATTATAGAGTGGGCACCTTATTTCAATATTTTCAAAGGTTGTATCCAATAGACTCGTGTTCTTGAATTGCCGTGAAACGTTAAGACCCTTCCTACCCCTATTATTGTGTATGTTTGCTTTTTATTTCATTATACCGTTATTTCCAAGTAGCCAACTTAATCAGGTTCATGAAAAAAAGGTTCAAATTAGAACCAAAAGGGTTTGCAGCCTATAGTGTCATTGCAGAACCTTTTTTTAATTTTAAGTAGCCTGCCTTTTTACCATGCATGTGGTGCGTTAAATAAACTAATACACTGATCTAAAGAATCTATAATGAAACATAAAAAAGAACACTTTAAATCTCCAAAGAACCATATAACCAGACCAAGAACCATGTACAGCTAACTTTGCGAAAACTAAAATGATGACCTGCAGAACCATAATTTTAAAGGTGGCACTTAAAAATAAAACAAATGGTGCGTTTGACGCTCCAGAGAGGTAGCCTAGGCTATACGAGCACGCCCTGATGGTATAAATATTTTTCAACAGCTATACAGTGCCGAGAAATAACTTTTGTTATTTAAGTTGACAGGGAAAATGACCTTTTATTCTTTAAAGAAAAATGCGGCATCCAACAAAAGGTTTCAAAGGAAAGCGCGAATGGCTATGAGTGTGAATGCGTGTCCCTTCTACCTTGGTGGCGAATAATTTAAGAGCTCCAAGGGCCAAGGGTCAGATTTTGATACGGCTTGGCATTATCGACTGCCACTCAGCATTAGCGCAGTTGCGACCCTTAACCAGCGCTCTCCATCCCCCGCGCTGACTCACCTCCTCCTAACTGCCCATGCACTTCATACAGGACCCAAAATGCCCACTCAAGAAAAGAATGAATACTTTATATGTTAAAACTTAGGTCGAACAAAGAAAAATGGCCAAAATAGTGGATTAAAGCGCTTTTGAAGCTTTTCTTGGGCATATGGGATGATAGGAATTATTGTTCACACCTGCACAAGGAAAAGATTCGTCAAGACTGTGAGGGTTCTGCAGACACGTTGGCTGCAATTATGAAAATGTATGTTCAGATGCACTCAAAAAATGTCCACCGCCTAATGGAAGTGACATAACACGCTCATGAATAAAAGAATTCATACTCCCACGAGACTGAAAAAAAGCATCGTCCTGGGATCGATTAATTTTCACATTTCATATTTTACTCAGCTGCGGCTCGAGCTTAATGGTGTGTAGCCCAAGCCTCGCGCCCACACACGAGCATCGCATCTGTTTTGATGGCAAATTCTCGTAAGCGACTGCTCTCTTGAGGCTATAGGCTCGGATTTGTCGAAAATGTCTGACTGAAAGGTGCCTCAGTCCGTGAGCCCCGTGGCACATTTAATCACTTGAGGCTGACGAGTCAAACCCAATAATGTGGGCTAAAATTACACGTAAATATTGACAATAAAGAACCGTCCCCATCGAGACAGTTCATTCTGTCAGCACGCGCTCTTTGACCATTGTCACTGTATAGGCTACTAACTTGCGGGCAGCAATGATATGTTCGCTTTATTTATTCTTTGCAGAGTGCCATTTAAAAAATGTCGACCCAGGGGAGTGTTTGACCGGAATATCTCAATATTTAGACAGTTTGAACAGTTCGTAACACAGCGTATGAAGCGTACTCTGTCCTCGCGTGCGTAGTCATTCATACAGCTGTTCCGCGCGCTTCACGTTAACCAAAAGTGTTTACCGGTATTGTTGCGTTGTTAATTGAAGCCTTTTGGCATTTAAAATATTTTATGGATAAATGGTCATATGATACCAACATGTTCATTATTTTCTGTCGTAGAAAACGTTGTAATAATAAATATACAGTCGATTTGTTGCCCGCTAGCAGTTGTGCTTTTAAAAAGGGAGTTGTTGAAAAAAAAGAAATAATATAGGCTATTCATTCTAAACTCAATTTCGTCGTTTCCTTATAGGCTGTATTTACGTTCAGCATCTCGTGCGTTGTTGTTTTTCTCCGAATTGTGCGATGAAACCCTTTGGTCAGTCAGTGACATATTACGTCGGAGGTTGGCTTTGTATTTGGAGTTAATGAGCCGATTGATATCAGCGAGAGTCACGGTTCCCTGCCATCAATCTCTCTTTCTTTCACGGGGAGAGAGGATGGATCAGCTCGCCCATAACATTTGGACTTGGTGCAAGCGATGTTCAAATAAAAGCATTTACATTTGTTCAGTTAGATTAAAAAAATAGTGATGTCTCGACATTTTAGGAGACAAAAGTCAACACATTTAAATCATTTTACGTATTTTGTGTGGTCACCCCTTACAAAGTATTAAATAGGCTACATTTCTCTGTTAACTGGTCTTCACTCTATATTATAAAGATATTATGTTTTGAATAGCCTATTAGCACAGACTTAAATGTCGACAGAAATAACAGAGAAAATGTTGTGATATACGTAGCCTAAAGTTAATAGGCTATATTTCTGCATGATCTTTATTTCATTCACTAAATATAATCCATTAGCCTGCATATTAAGGGAAAACCAACAATGAGCTCGCAAAATGTATGAAGATCAGCCTTTAAATAAATGCGAAAATAAAAAGGAAATTATTTCAAAATATAGGCTATATTAGCAAAAATCTCAATATGTGAGTTATAAATAATATTTATAATTAGAGGGAAACAGTGACATGGAGTCGGCAAGACAACAGTGACTCTATATAGAAATATAGAACTCTTATGTTTTGCCATATTTAGTGTAAAATACGAGTTCATGCATATTTGTAGATTCGTCATATAGGCCTACAACCAAATTTATTTATTTTTTCTTTTCTTTGTTTCTCATTTTTGCAAGACAAAGGACACCACACGGAATGCTGATATTTTTATGTCAGGGAATTTACGTATTGAATTATATAGCTAGGCCTTATTCAAAATTGTACTTCTATTTCCATGAAGGCCGATTTTAAGACTACATTAGGGACTTTAATAAATAGTCAATTTAGTGTAGCCTATATAGTAGAGTGCTTATTAAACTGCTTTGTCTGAGCGTACATGTCCTGGAAATAAATCCAGTAGAGGGCGCTAACATTACGTGGTACCAAGCGTTATGGCTCCTCTGTGATGCTGTTGCCCATTTCACATTTAAAGTTCGCATAAAGGCAAATATTAGGAGAGAGAGAGAGAGAGAGAGAGAGAGAGAGAGAGAGAGAGAGAGAGAGAGAGAGAGAGAGAGAGAGAGAGAGAGAGAGAGAGAGAGAGAGAGAGACTATCAAACTGTTTTCATCGTTCCAGAGATTTTAAAAAGATAAGGTAGGCTATGCGTCTTTTGAAAAAGCCTTTTGAAGATTAAAGTCGATGGAATACTCAAACGAGCGAGTTAAGTATCATAAAAATAAAGATAAGACAAAAGATAACTGCGGTCTACAACGTCAACAAGAAAATGTTATGGCCATTCAACAGTTAGGCAGCCTAGCCTATTTGTAAAAACGCATGATTAAATAGCATCCCCGCCCCTCCTACAAACTAAATTAAGTCACCTTCAATTAATTTATACCCGACGGTGTCAATGAGTGGAGTAATCCGTTTATAAACCTGAAGGTCAGGGTAACGTCTTCGTCACTGTTTTCTGCCACATGTTCCATGACTTTCGGTGTTTACCATAGACTAAAAAATAGGGTGTTTACGGAGCACGCGACGCACGCATGCGCAGCTCAGCACAACACGCATGCACCGCGCCATAAACACGCGCGCCCGATGACACGAGCGCACTAGTGTCCTCCAAATCTCCTTGTAGAAACTAAAACTGTTATCGGTTATCAGCACGGTACCGAACTGGAAGGGAAGTAATTTGAAAGATACTTTAAACTGGGTAAATTGCTGATATGACTCATCCAAGACACCCACAAGCCTCTGATCAAGCGAATGGGAGGGAGGGGAACGAATTTGTGTGTGTGTGTGTTTGTGAGAGAGAGAGAGAGAGAGAGAGAGAGAGAGAGAGAGAGAGAGAGAGAGAGAGAGAGAGAGAGAGAGAGAGAGAGAGAGAGAGAGAGAGAGAGAGAGAGAGAGAGAGAGAGACAGGGAGGGAGGCAGAT